GTTATGGGACACAATTTGTCTGGCCTGAAACACATTGGGCATCTAAAACTGGCTTGGATTTTTGTGATCTTTCTGCTACTGCCTCCCGGGTGCTAGGACTGCAGGGCCCACCGCGCTTAGCTTAATTTTCTACTTTTATTTAGTCATAAAAGAATCTTTCTTCTGTCTTTTTGATATAGTTTCTCTTTGTTTGGACTGTGCCACCTTACAAATGCAAACCATGCTTTGAGTTCAAGGCATTTATAATAGTAAATTAAGAGAGAGAGAGAGATAATCTGAGTGTTTTAGCCAGGAATTCTTAGGTGTAAAATTATCAAATATCATTCATGTATATTTGGTTATGTGCATAGACTTCATTGATCTATATTATAGATAGATATGTCATTTTCTTTTGATATAAGAGTCACTGTGTAAAGCAGGCTACCCTTTACTCCTACAGATCCAACTGCTTCTGCCTCCAAAGTGCTGTCATTTAAACTATATTAAAAAACATGCCTGATTGGTTTTTATTTTTAAGAGATATATCATATATTATAATTTATATGAATATTTTGTAACTATCAGTAATATCAACTTTGACATATTCGTATAAACAAGTTTATATCTAGTAATACAAAAATGTTATATTTGAGTGCATGCTAATTAATTCAAGAACCTCATTGAAATATCTTAACTGATGTATATCCTTATTTTTAAAAGTCCTTATCAGAATGGTAAATGTTTCTTCATTAATTTCACATCTCCCTACTCCTTTGGAAAAGCTGTATCTATCCATTGCCTTTGCAGAAACCTTTAACACATCTCTCAAGGCACCTCTGTATATATTTAGTGGTCTGAACTTTCACTTTTGTAATGGTTTAGTGTTTAGATTTTCCTCATCATGAGGAACAATATGCTAGCTTCACAAGCAACAACTGGAACATACCATAAAGACAGATGAAACATATGTCTTTCATTTCTGGCTCAACTCACAGACACTAAGAGGAAAAAAAATGTCCAGGAATTCACACATATGGCATGTAATAACAACGTATTAAAGTCACTATGTAAAGCAGGCTACCCTCAAACTCCTACAGATCCAACTGCCTCTGCCTCCAAAGTGCTGTCATTTAAACTGTATAAAAAACATGCCTGGTTAGTTGTCTGGCCAGACAACTAACAGATTAAATATAAAACAAACCAAAAAATAGAATAAGCAAAGTCAGAAAGCTGTATCTTATCTATCTCCTTTTGAAACTTAGATAGAAGCCAATGGAGCAGGAAGGTGAAATTCAACATTTTGAATTCCTTTAAAACTATATCAATATTCCCCAAATCTCTTGATTCTAAAACTATATCTACAATATTCAATAATATCACCAATGGTTAGATTGCCAGTATATATACATGTATTTGTTCAAAAGTGAAACACAACTTTCTACATGAGAAACATTCACATGAGCAATTGTAGAGTAAGCCTACGACTAAGAAACACATTGTCTCAGAAAAGCAAAAATAGCTCACTCAGGAATTCTAAGAAGGCTTAGAACACTTACAGCCACTTCTTAGTCTAATTGAACCAGAGTCGGGTCATTATAAGAGTGAGTCTAACTTTGGAAAAATAGGATAATTATGGAATGTAGGTCAGATGAAGAAACTGTGGTAATCTGAGACCGATGAGCATTTCCACATTAAATTGCTTTTCTGTTTTTCCAAGTAGCCTTTCAGTGAATGCAAAATGGGGAGGAAAAATGGGCAATACAGTTTTACTCAGAAAAGAAATTTTCAACTCTCTGGTTTTCACATGAGCATTTTTCATTGTAGAAATAATTCATACCCTACAAACTGAACTTGAACATGAGCCTTTCCAGTGTATAGGCTAACTGGTTCACAAACTGTATAACCACAAATGGTTAAACATTTCCCTAGAAAAATACATTAAAAAAATATGGCACTTTGTTGTTGAGGTTGGTCCACAATCCCACATTTTTTTATATTCTACATTCATGCCTAAACTACAATTATAATATTTTTAATAAAGCCTATATCTTAGGATTTGTTTGCAGTGAAGAGACACTATGACCAAGGCAACTCTTATAAAGGAAAGCATTTAATTGGAGCTGGCTTACAGTTCAGAGATTTAGTCTATTATCATCATGGCGGGAAGTGTGTCAAGGTGCAGGCAGACATAGTGCTGGAGTTGCTGAGAGTTCTACATCTTGTCCAGCAAATAGCAGAAGGAGACTGTGTGGCATAGCATGAGCATAAAAGACCTCAAAGCCTGCCCCCGCAGTAGAACTCTTCCGCCAACAAGACCACATTGACTCCAACAAGGCCACACCTCCTAACAATGTCACTCCCTATGTGCCAAGCATTCAAACACATGAGTCTATGGGGGAAGGCTATCCAAACTACCACAGCCTGAGAACTTGCTTTGACAGGGTGAAGGAAGAATTTGATTCACCTCTTAGCAAACTCTATGCATGCTCTGTGCCAAGCACTGACTTAGCACTACACAGGAGTGAGCAAGATTCCTACTTACACAAAGATGTAGATCAAGGTGGGAATTCATTATGTGCTCTTGTGGGAGTAGTTTTTATGGATAACTCTCAATAATATTACCAAGGGAAATTGTCCTACTTTCTCTCAGTAACTTTCCAAGTGCCCTCATTATTAAGATACATAAAATTTTAAGATTGCAACTAAAATCCTTACTAACAGTTTCATTAATCCCACATCCTCCAACTCTCTCATGTATGATGTCCTATTTAAGGGATAAGACAATTGTCTGTAGCCCAACTTCTTCATGTCAGAAACACCCACTTCTATGAAAGGAGGTTGAGTTTCCAACTAATAAATTAGTCTTGATGGATGGAAGCATCTGTGTCATCAGTTCAGAAAGAAATGACTCAGTCCTAATGAATGCACAAATTATCTCTAAATACTAACATACAAACCACAAAGAATTATAAAAAATTAACAGGCTGAGTAGTACAAAAGTCATGATGAAAGCTTTGAAAATCACCCATAAAAAACATTTTCTCCACTGCTAATGATCTCCAAAGAAAGACAATCCTAAATCAACTTCCCTGAGGCGTAATAGTGCTTTCTCTTTTCAAGAGAGTATTCTTAAGAATTAGTGTAATTCCTCTTTGTGATTGCTTAAATTCATTTTCTCTTCTTTTGTTGTCAGTAGATGCTTGTTAAGCCATTGCACATATTTATTCAAAGAATAAAGGATGCCCTGTGCTTTATAGTGATCCATCCCGAGATAAAAGAAAACTAAAGCCACAGGCTCAACATTGAAAAGATGTCACTTATTTATTTGATGAAAATCAAATATAAAATCCAATTATGTGTGTGGATTCCATTTTCTAACGTTTTTTTTTTTTCTAACTAACAAAAAAAAAAAACTGTAGAAGCAAATTTTCAGATATGGTAAAGAGATAGCTATCTATTCTCATGTAGTTTGATATAATTGCTATTATCTAAGTCTGACAATACACTTGACATTGTTTTACCTTTATATAGAGTTTTCTCACGTACATTTTCTTATTTAAACATTACCATCCATCCATGGTATGTTACCTCCTTGAAGGGATACAGAAGAAGATTATAGCAATCATACTTTTTGTAATGGTCACATTTGAATTTGAATGCTGGAAGCTGATTCTGGAGCTTGAACTGCAGAATCACTGACAAGGAAGGCTAGTCACTGAGAAGTTACATCAAGAAGCTCATCATCTATCTTGGTTCAATTGGCAAAGCCTTGAAGGAAATACCTACTGTGTTGGTTTAGTTGATATTATTATTTGTGAATTTGGAGCCTGACAATATTGGTTTCTATGAAAAGCTCTCTCCTTTAGGTAGATGTATACCTATCTTTATATAAATAGCAAATCCACCCTTATGTCAGTATAAGCTATATGTTGTATAAATGTGTTTATCCACCATAAGCATTTTGTAAAGAAAATATATGATTGTTAATCTTTATGTCAAAATACTTATGAATTTTGCAAATACACTGCAATAGCAGATACATTATATTAAAAGTTGGCCAATAAGTTTACCCAATGCATTATTTGGTATCTCAAAAGCTCTATGACCATCCTCAGGCAACCAGAACCACCCTGCCCCTTTAGATGAAGTGCCTTGGCAAAAAAGAGTACAGGACAACATTTACCTGACATATGCATAAATTAAAAGTAAAGTACCATGACCATAGATTGACTAGATTTATGCAGACTGCTTCACATGTAGTAGTTTTATGTCCCCCAACAGCACTCAGCTATTAATGCAGCACAGTACAAGAGGATTTTTGCTTCTTGTTTTAGTGGAGTCTTGGGGGAATTTCAGCACATCAACTTATTATAATTATTTTGCAAAGGAAAGATACATATGAATGTATCTATATTACTATCTGTATCTGAATATCTCTGTGTTTTGGTTTTAAAATGAAATTGTTTTCTTTATGACCAATTATATGGTCTATTTTGGAGAATGTTCCATGTGGTGCTGAAAAGAAGGTATACTCTTTTGAGTTTGGATGAAAAGATCTGTAGACGTCTATTAGGTCCATTTGATTTAGGGTCTCTGTAAGTGTTTTTATTTCCCTATTTGTTTTCTGTTTAGTTGATCTGTCCCTTGGTGAGAGTGGAGTGTTGAAGTCTCCCACTATTAGGGTTTTAGGATCAATGTGTGATTTAAGCTTTAATATTGTTTCATGTGGACTTGGCAAGGGGCACGGTGGAGAGGAGGGAGGGAGGGAGGGACTGGGAGGGAATGAGGGATCGGGACATGGCTGGGGTACAGAGTTAATAAAATGTAACTGATAAGAAAAAAATAAAATACAAAAAAAATGAAATTGTTTTTGTTCAGTGAGTTGATAGCTGAAATTTGTTTGAAAAAATACAAGAAAATCAACTAATAATTGTGGATTTCATGATTTATTTGAAAATTCCATGAACTGAAGACAAGTTACACATGAAATCTAAATTCTCACTGCTTTTCTCTACCAACAGGTTGTATATAAAAACAATGATGTAAGGCTGGAGTTATCTCGACTTGCCAAGCAAGGAGATCCTAAGATGAAGATACATGGTGTGGTGGCATTTAAGTGTGAAAATGTGGCAACCTTAGACCCAATAACTTTTGAAACTCCAGAGTCTTTCATTTCTTTGCCTAAATGGAATGCAAAGAAAACAGGCTCTATATCATTTGATTTCCGTACAACAGAGCCAAATGGCCTCATCTTGTTTAGCCATGGCAAGCCAAGACATCAAAAGGATGCCAAGCACCCACAGATGATCAAGGTTGACTTTTTTGCTATTGAAATGCTGGATGGCCATCTGTACCTCCTCTTAGACATGGGGTCAGGTACTATAAAAATAAAAGCCCTGCAGAAGAAAGTGAATGATGGAGAATGGTATCATGTGGATTTCCAGCGGGATGGACGGTCAGGTAATATAACAGTTTACTGTGTTATCAGATCTTCTCTCCCACCCCTTCCCATTCTGGTGAATTACAACCAAGACCTGCTAAATTTGCTTCATTAAAAAACTGCTAGTTACTATTTCTGTTTTACCTCTACTAAGAATCAGGAGTCCAAGTAATCATAATGCTTCAGGTTCAAATCCAAATGATTAACTCGCTTCAGTGTCTTAAGCAAATATTTTATAGGCATCAAGTACCAGACCTCACAATAAATTTTATCTTGAATTTTCAGATAACAGAAATTAGAGTTCTTATAGACTCAGCTATGTTTTTATGATATTGGGTGTTTGATGGTATCTGAACATGGAATTATAAAATGTAGAAAAATAAAAATGAGCCACGCATGAAAATTTAGTAGGGCTATGGAATGATTTACTGAATAAAACACTTCAGTAAATGTAGTGATATTCAAATCTACTCCTTAACCAACTTTTCTTTAAAACGTTTGAAATTCCAACAACAGGTGTTACTGCCTGGTTTCATTTTCTGACCTATATTCCTTTAAGAGGGAAGGGAAATTTTTTCACAAGAAATAATATTTCCGCCGCACTTTAAAAGTTGCTTAAAGAGATTAGTTTTTTGATAGTTTGGACTTTGAAGAAAAAAAAAAAAATCAACCGAGAAGATACCTTTTGTTATGCAATAAAACGAAGAGCTGGCCAGTTAGGAAACTGAAAAAGAGCTGAGGTTACTGGTACACAGGAAGTGGAAATTTACAACCCAGTGCTCTGAATCCAACTTGTCCCGGAAATTCTACTTCCGATTTCCCTGTTTTGGGAAATTTTACTCCTTAAATTTTGTTACCCTAAAAAGGTCAGGGATTTGTCAGTGGTTGGGTTTGTTTGTCTCTATTTTTCTGATGTAAACTAAGAAATCTCTGTTGATTGGAACGTAGAAAACAATAACAAACTCTGCCCTGTCCCAGTCTCTTGGAAAAGATAGGGCTTAATTTATCGTTAGATAAATAAAAGAATTAAAATGAATATTGGAACACAACATGATCTAGTGTTTTGAAATATTGGATTGCAGATCATATTAGAACTTCAAGTATATATAGAATGAAATTCCAAAAATGACTTTAAAAAAAAAAAGAGAAATTTGACTTTTATAACATAATTTTGAGTCATATTTTATAACAGAATAAAATAAAAAAAATCACATTACCTTTTCATACTTTGGAGCTTCAGAAAACTAAAAAACAGCAAACTTCAGGCCAGTTATACTTGATTATCTAGAAATGTTATATTAATAATATGAAAATAATGCATGATGTATACCAAGTTATTAGTACATGCCAAGGAATGTGAGAAGAATGCGGAAATCATCTAGTGCTCATCTGATAACAGAGACTTATGTTTAGATACCTATTTTCAGCCTTTTTATATGAATCGTGTATATATTTTTATATATGTATGGATATACACACATGCCATATGTCATGTAGAAACATGTATCTAAAGGAAAACAAAACCTAATGAACTTTTCAGTGGATTCCATTATAATCATACCAGTTATCAAATAAATACCATAATTCTCAAGTCAAAGGACATCTAATGTTTTTGTGCTTGATCACCTATTTAATCATCCTTACTGAAAGTTTACTAACTGCTGCCTTTAAGACTTCATTAGAAAATTCCAAAGACTGATAGCATCCACTCTTATTTAAAAAGATCAGTTTTGTATTGAATGAATAAAAACATTTTCTAAGTTTTATTTGCAAACTGAAAGATCAATAAAAAGCAAGAGATTTTTGTTGGAATCCACTGGAAAGATAAAAGTTACTATGCTTATTGGAATTTTAATGGCAAATTTCTTTTATGTGATTAAAATCTCTAATACGTGAATTAGAACAAACAATGGGAAAACCAAAGCCAAATTTTGTCCTTCAACAGATTGAAGAAGGTAGCTCGCATTATGTGAGTCCCGCTCAGGGGAACTTAATGTCATTTTAATAGCTGCAGCTGTTAATATTTTATATATAGTATCTTAATTAAGTTCTATATTTGCACACTGCATTGATCTGGCACAGACTTGCTTTTTACAATTTGAATTAATATATATGTATATATATATACAGTTTCATTTTACCCAGAGTGTTCTGCCTTTTGCTGTTCAGATGCAAGCATTTGTATTTGTATCTGAGTTAAAACCAAGAAACATGGAATCTCAGAGTTAGATTGATCCATTTTATATCAATTATGTTCAAAGGTTTATGGAAATGATTTTTCATATCAGAAAGAGGAATAGCATGGCTATTTCAACAGGACAGTGTGGGCTGCCTTCTAAAGTGAATTCCTTGGGCAACCCCTAGATAGATGCCCAAAACCATTGGTAAGGTCCTATTCCGTTGTTAGAGTAGAGGGACCCAAACCTCTGAGGCACTATTTCAGCAGCTGATGTTATTGACTTAGATACTAAATGAGTACAACAATCACAGCTCTTTGATATCAGTGTAACTACTAATTTTCTTAATCCAAATAGAATTAAAGTCATAATAATGGACATTCCTAAAATTTGGATATTTCCAAAACACTTTATAAAGCAAGTTCATCCAAGATCAAGTATATTTAATTTGTTTCTATATTCACAGTTCCTAATTTATTGGGCATAATAGTTGTAAACTCTGTGTGTGCGTGTTTCTGTTTCTCCTAGTTTGTCTCCCCACAACACACACAAAAACAGAGTAGCACATTGTCAAAATACACCTAAAAAGGTATCTCTTTTTTCACGTTTGAAGAATAGTAACAAATTTTCTTGTAAATTCAACTTCTTTAAATTTATAATTTGTATTTCATTTCCTTCTTGACGCCCTTTTACACAATATAGAAGACAGTGAGAATTTCCAATCCTGGGTATCTGAAGTAAGTCAAACAAAAATGTCAGTCATTGTTAGATAGCTTTGCAAGCCTGGTACAGGAATGAAAAGCTTTGATGAGGATGGGACTTTGAATTCTACTTGTTCTCAAGATACCTATATTGCTAAGCAAGTATGTAGCTAGAAGGAAATTAACCAAGTAGGAAGATATCATCTAGCCAAGTTCTGGGTTAGGCAGGTGCCAGTGACAGGGAAGATAATCAACCTGGGCCACTCATTTTCCTAGTTGCCCATCCTTGGATCTTCTCTTCACTGTGAGCCTCTTAGGGCTGAAAAATTCTACCCTTATTTGCATGTTTTTATAGAATTTCATTATGGGTAGTAAGTTACAAGCACAGCAATAAGAGAAACGATATTAATATAATTTACTAAAAATGATCTCTCAGTGTGTAACAAGCCAGTTAGTCAGAGAAACATGGAAGAACATTTACAGCTAGAGGGTCAAGTTCCCCTCATGACCTAAACTAAGAACGCATCTAATGGCTGTTTGAACAGAACCATTTAAATGTGGCAAACTCTAATGATTAAAGGAAGCACTTGATTTGGATTTTTTGCCAACCTATGATGTACCTTACTTTCCAAAATGTAGGGAGGAACCATATACTTTAATTCCCCCATTTTTATATTATTTGACCACAGCAGTTTCTGTAGACAATGTAGCTTTCTTCTATTGTGTACTGAGTTTATATTCACTGACATAGGAGGTGAAGTAGATGAGGTATCTGCAGATGACCATTATCAGACCCTGAAATTACCTAGCAAAGAAGAAGCCGTGCAAAGTGCAAGCATGATCTAGTGGATCCAGGTGGACAGCTTACATCCTAGAAAAGCAATTATCCTCTGCACATCTTAGCTGCTAGGATAAAAGCCTTTCATAGCTGACTTAATAAGTTACTGCAAAAGTCCATATTCTTGCCTACTTTGCAAGACACCATTTGATATGTCTTTTCCATCCCTCCTCCCTTTCCAGTCTTCCCTGTCTCTCTCAGCTGTGTCACCAACTGTGACAACAAACAGCTTCCCAGGTGTTTAGCTGACATATGAATTGTTCTACAACGAGGATAAGGTTAATGACTGTTTTTAGGGCAAGAATTTTGTTTAAATTCACGTTAAACTCTTTGGCTCAGTCAAGGATACCCTCTCAAGAATTTTTGTAGCAAGCTGCCAGTCATATTTTCTCTGTTCCTGCAAACTATCATTAAACGTTGAAATAAAGAGAAAACTCATTATTCTTGTCAAGTTCTGCTTGTGTACAGCAGAGCACAGCAGATTGTGTCAGCGGTTATTCGTGGCTAAGCCTGCATTTAACAGCTAAGAAGCCATTCAGATTTGAATTGAAGTCATAGAGTTCTGGTTTAAGAACCAGAAATTATAGTGGGAAAGGCACGGTCTCTCTCCAGAGCACATAATTAGGGGTTTGCAGTAATCACTGTTCAATGTGAACAGCCCTTGCTAGCTATCTATTACCAGTGCTGATTTGTGTTTATACTGTCTGTGAACTGCCACACTTAGGTAGTTGTACTTGAACAGCCATTAGATTGTTTAGGTCTTGAGGTGAACTTGCCCTGTAATTGTAAAGCTCCTTCATGTTTCTGCTTACTAGCTTGCTGCACACATTGAGATTATTTTTAGTAAATTATAATAATATCCTACATCTTATATTTGTACTCAAAAAGTACTGCCCATCAGCAGGAATAATGAAATATGTTATCAGTCATTTACCAATTATCTGGCCAAATAGGATCAAATTGCCATTGGATTTTTATATCAAATTTTATTAAATTGATTTTTATATACTAGAGTAAGGTTTAAAAACAAAAAAAATTATATTTTCTCTATATTTATAGCTTTTTGCTTTGTAAATCTTTAATCAAGTAGGCTGAAAATTATGTTCATAGGGCAATGGCAAGTATATAAGTACAAATTTACAATGATCAATTTGATTTTTATAAGTTCTTTTATCAAGAATGTCTGAAAAATAACATTTATTTTATGGGAGTTATATGGCCTGTAGTTGCAAGGGAAGCTTCATAGCACAGTTGCCTAGAGCCCCAGGTCTTTATGACTTCATTTATATTCACAGGCCAAAACA